GACTTCAGTTTAATGTTTCATTTTTGTGTAATTCATAAAGAATCAAAGGCAACATGTTTCAGTGGGAACAAAATAGCACAGTTTGGAGGGTAAATGTGAGAAGTCTGCGTCACACATGTTTGCATGGTTTGCATCTTCACAACTAGAAACGAGGACGAGTTTGGTGATGTATTTACGGTGGCCGGGACCCGCCATTGCTGCAAATCAAAAGAAACGCCGCTGCAAATCAAAAGAAACGCTGCAAACAAAAAGAAACGCTGCAAACAAAAAGAAATGCTGCAAACAAAAAGAAACGCCGCTGCAAACAAAAAGAAACGCCGCTGCAAACAAAAAGAAATGCTGCAAACAAAAAGAAACGCTGCAAACAAAAAGAAACGCTGCAAACAAAAAGAAAGGCCGCTGCAAATAAAACAACAACGATGCAAATAAAAAAAAGCCACAACGGAAGTGAATTACCAGGAACTATTATTGCTGGTTCACCGGTGTGAAGAAGACCAAGAGAGAGAGAAATAAGAAGAAAAACGAATGAACAAGTAAATGAAAGGGTTAGTGTTTACTGTCGCTACGGGACTGTACTTCAGTGTGTTATAGTTAGGTTTGATATGAAGCTGGAGGATGCTGTGGATTGTTAGAAACTAGGTTTCCCTGTGTTAGCCAAACGGAGAGATGGTAGAACAAGGTAGACAGTGAGTGGAGTGAGAAAGCGCCGTTACCGAGAACAAAGCAATGATTTACAGAAATAAAACGTTTTCAGCAGTTCCAATCTAAAGCTCCGCACAATCCTGCAGAAGGTGTGCATTGCTGGATTTTGTGCCGAAGGTGCATTGTCTGCTGTGCCTGTCTGCTACGTGTAGCTCAGCCCCGCCCTCGGTCAAACAGACCACGGCTCTTTATACATTCACAGTCTCACACAGACAGAAACCACGTAGATCTCCACAATCTGTTTAAGTACTGTGCCAGCAGTGGGCAGCGGGACAGAGTCGGAGATAGCGATCCGCTTGTTTTCTTTTTATCCAGTACCAAGCTCAGACCCTGCACACTGCCCTAAGGTTGACACCCAGAAACATCCCCCACGCAACAAAATGAGAAAATACAGGCAGAGGGCTGCAGGGATTCTGCTTTTGAGTCTACAGTGTTCTTTAGGAAAAATCTACCTAATATGCCTTTAATAAATTGTGTTCAATCCTTTAATAAGTAGTGTGATGTAGGCTGAAACATATAATACAACCAAATGTTGTCAGCACACACCAGCGTGATTAGAGCAAATGCAATGACGCTATAAGACCCCCACTTGTACTGTGAATCTGGATATTTCAGAACTAGGTTGTTTGTTGGTAGTTCCACACTATACCCCCTTACAGACATGCTGGCCCCTAAAATCAAACATCCAGGCTGGAAACAGCAGCTCTGAAAACTGTCTCTGGGAGTGAACCTCCTGAGCCTCCTGTCAACATCCACCATTCCTGAGCACCTCTCGGCCGTCTGATGGATTTCCTGTGGGTTGTGGTTTAACTGGGGGATATGATTGCAGCCATTTAGCTTCTTCCACATAAAGTTCCTAAGTTTAGCTCCTAAAAGTGTGTCAAACGCATTCCACTTTCCCCTTACGCTGGGTGGGTGTGTCTCTGCTCCACAGGGCAAACACAGTTTTATTTGGTGGAAAACCAAACACACATCTTGACTGACAAGATAGGGAGTTCTCTGTAGCCGCAGCTATCTCGCCCTGCACATTACACCCACACTCACACCCTGCGCCAAACCCTACACCTCCTCAATAAAAGTGCTGACCTACACATGGTGGACACCCTACCTCCATGAAAATCAGTCTAAAGTACGACTCAAAATACTCCTCACATTTAACCCCATTAGCCACTTCACCTCTAAGTAAACTGGTTCCCTTCAACACAGCCTTAACTTCATGACTCAGTAATAACTTTTTTAGCTCCTCATTGGCAGTACAGGCCAGTGTGTGTGTGAGTTTAACAGGTAAAGGAATAAAGCTTTACAACCTGTAGAACCGCTGCCAGCTCCTGACAGGAACGATGGCTGCTGGCCAAGTAGGGATATTCTGCAGCTTTCATTGGAAGATAGGCTTATAGAGCCACACTCAAATCTCCCAGAGTGAAAGGGGAAAATGTAGCTCCGGGTTTATTACCTCTACTGTACGCTGTATGACTTGTGTTGTATAGCTGAATTACATCGATTTTTGCCTTAAACACACAGTTGGGGAAACAACTGTGTGTTTATTCTGCTACATTCATTCAATAACTACAGAGAGAGGGAGCTTGTGTTCAGCTCTGTTGACAAAACGCGACAAAAGAGAATCAGAAAAGGAGTAGAAAGAATTGAGGTTTTGATCTGTAAGTAAAGCAGAAGACAGGAGAAACCACACAAGTGAGGTGGTTATATGAGGAGTACAGACAGACCAATACATCAGGACGATTATCTGGCGTTTTGAGTTAACTGGCAGCAGCTGCTGTCTGTGCCCAATGAACAAAAAAATGTCTGCACACACACCTGCTGGCCGCCGTGTCAGTGTGGCTGCTCCCCTTTGTAGCAAATCCAATCGAAAACCATTCACCCAAACATTGCTAAATTTGGGAGCGCACTTGTAGCGCACTTGGTACCAAGGCCGAGTCCTTGCTGCAGGGTTAAACTCTGACCCGTGGCCGTCTCCCTCCCCCTGTCCTGTCACTCTACAGCTGTCACTGTTGATTAGAGGCAATAAAAGCCCCCCCCAAAAATCTAGTTTACATTGCTACATTTGGCTGAATTATAACCAGAAGTGGTACTAAATGAAGAACCCTTCGAGAGTCAAAAAAGCTAAAAAGAGCTGGAACTCCCATTAGCACTGTATCTGATTATTCCCGATACCCCTAGCTACAGCACTCTTCAGTTACAGTTTATATGTGCACAGATCACAGTATATTTATTTGCTACCATATAAGCTGGTTACTTATCACTGTAACACATTATCCATATGCATCTTGTTCTAATTAGGTATATATTCTACTGTTACAGTGCATTTTAATATTACTCACCAGCTAGCTAAGTATTATATTTATTTTTCATTATATACATTTTTTTTTGCTATTTTGTGTTTTAGATTCTAACTAAATTTTGTTATATCATTTTCCATATATATTTGTAAGAGCACAGTTAGAGGGAGATCTGAGAAAAACAAATAAAATCTGTGGCGCTGGAGGGAAAATGTAAAAATGAATGACACACAAAAATCCGCTGCACTTGAGGCTTTGTATTCAGATCAGACTAAAGGGGACATTTTACTTTGAAAATCCGATCTGAATGACAAGACCAACGTGTATAAGAGCTCATTTGCATGCAATTCCACGTTATGACTGGGGCTGCTGTGAGCAGGGGACTGTTATTGAATAGTCTTCAGCATTCTTTGTGAATTCCTGACCTGTGACTCAGGTTTGAGGTAGACTACAGTGCTGGTCCGATTTGGTCCCGACACTAAGCGCTAAGCACATTAGCAGATTTTTGAGGAGATTGGAAAAACCATGGTAGCAGGAAAAAGACTGTTTCATGCTTCTGCGGGGGAAAGGTGATATGATGTGAGAGGCTGGCGATGATAGGTAGGGTTACAGTCCGAGAACCTTGCAAACGCCTGGCAGCAACTTCTAAACAGCAGTCTAATTACCATGCAAACAATAGATGACACACCAGCCTGTGAGCCGGAAACACTCGGGGGGGCAAAGAAAGCCGAGTCGTGAGTCTCCTGCTCTACAACGTCACCGCAGACAAGAGGGTTTCTGGGCTGAGCTGAAATATCACACTGCTCACATATCAGCAGAAGCTCCAGGCTGTGAGAGTCAGGGGGATACGCTCTGTTGTTCTCTTGACATGATGATTCAGTGATTATTACTTGGTTATTGAAGCTAATTTCCAATAATAATGCTACAGCGTTGAAGTCTAATTTATTCCCACCAATCATTCATCCTCATCATACTGCTGTCAACAGCGCTGCACAGTACTGGCTCTAACGGAAGGATGTTTCTTAATCACGTCTCTCACTGAAAACGCAACATGGGTTCTGTCTGAAAGGTTGTTCAAGTACACACCAAACTCAATGAATAAATCGGTCCATTTAATGAGCGTATCGGCCAGTAACAAACTGCTTATAATGGGCTGCAGGATACTGAGACTGGATTCAAATAACTTAAACCACACTGAGTATGCTCTGGGCGGCCTTGGGCTGTTTTAAAGGATTAAACATTTGCATTTTTATGTCGGTTGTGTATTATTTACATGCGCAATTTGAAAAAGAAACTTAAATCACAACCAATGGTCTAGGGCAGACGGGACCCCCGCACTAAACTACTACTTTAAGCTAGATAACTTAAAAAATATACACAGTAGGCCTATGTCTCTTCACTTCACTCCTGTGTAGAAAAGTCAAAGTAAAGTAAGTTGTTTATGGAACGATGGCCATCAGGGACAAGAAAACACAGAATAAGTCTGTATGATCGTTAAAAATGACCAAAAACAAACTACGTAATACAGACAGACAAACTGTATAAAAAGTTCCCTAAACAGGAAATAATCTGATTTATCCGATTCACACAAACTACTTGTAGTTGCTGAGTTCACTGTTTGTTTGTACAGTTTTGAAAATAATATGAAACATCCATAACATTTGAGTTTACTAAAAGAAAGAAAAAAAGGTTGGGAACCACTCTTCTACAGATTCTACAATCAGTTCAGCCGGTGGTCAAGACTGTGAGGAGACTGACCGACGAGGCAAAGCTGGAATTACAGGGCTGCTTTGGCCCACCTGAAGGATATTAAAGACCCCCTGCTGGACCCCCTGCTGGACCCCCTGCCATTTGCCTACTGGGAAAACAGGTCCCTGGATCCTGTTTGTGGACTTCAACAC